ATACTAGTAGAGATATCAGCTCCCTGGTAGGCACCTGGAAGGTCCCATACAGAACTCAGAAGCCCAGCAGGAGCCCTGAAACTTACTCTTTCATGGGTACTGGCACACCTTTCTCTGCTTCTCGCTTCAGGTTTTTCAACAACACATCTGCATACTGTTCAATAATGGGGAACATCTAAGCAAAAGAAACATCATCAGCAGTTAAATGAACACACACAAAGCCCAAAATACAAGACATTCCCAGTCATGAACCTGTATATAGCACTTTATAAGAAATTCTGTAATGTCTCCAAGGACATAAAGAGAAATGGCCATTCTTATTAGCTCATCTGTAGAGGGCTGAGGAAAGAGACTAGGACCTTTCTACTTTTATACAGACTCATTGTTTAATTTCCAATTAAAAACTCTCATATATGCTTACTTCCTTCAGTTTTCCACTGGAGAAAGTGGGAGAGAGCAATGTCCGTATTCTCTTCCATTGTTCATTCTGAGATACAATAAGTGACTTTCTCATCAAGATCGCTGGACGAAGCGGCTAGGGTCCAAAGTGAAAGATATTTTATTGTAAAGAAGTTCAGAAATTTTGCACCTTTGTAGAGAATTTATGGAACATCGATCACCTGTTTAACAAATATTTAGTGGTTGTCTACCAAGTGGGATGCCCCATGACAGATGCTCAATAAATATGCATATATAAGTACTTTCTCTCCTCTCAGTGTGTTTGAGATTTTCCCTCTGATCACCACTGTGTGAACATGAAAAGACAAACTCACCTTCTGTGTATAAAAGACTAGCAAGAAGGAATCCTGTGGTGAAGGAACCATGCTGAAGTGTGACTGTGATCAAGGTTACATAAATACACAACTGTGATGAGTGTGGATGGAGATACACACAGCAATGGACACACCATGTACAGACACACACACACACATACACACACACACACACACACACACACACACACACATGAAGTGATGCTATTACTAAACTGAGGAAATGTCAATATACGGTATGATTTCAGCTGTGTCAAACTCTTTTAACCATATTGACAGGAAAATATTTCGACGGGGTATGTGCAAGCCTCTACCAGGAGGAAAAACAGCACAAAACGTCCATGGAGCGTTCAAAATTTAGTATGATAATGTAATTATTTCAGTTTTAAAGTTCAACAAGTGAGAGAGGTTTACATCTCCAAAACATGAATGCTTACCTTGCGGTTGGTGAAAGCTGAGTAAAATTCTTTGACAAGCACTGTTTTGAGCATGTCTGGATCCGTGATAAATAAAACTGGTTGTCTACCTTCATATAATCTGTATTGGGAAAACAGAGCTGATTCAACCTAACACACCAGACTGTACAGATGGCCCCCTACCAGGGAATCCCAAGACTTTGATCCTGATACTAGGATGTACATGCCCGGTGAACCGCACACCCCAATAGCTTCTGGTTTAATTTAGGATTTCTGAACACAGAGGCCACTCATCTCTTCACAGAATGAAGGATATTGAGCTCAAATAATGAACAGACATTAAAGGCAAAGTCATTCTCAAAAGATCGTAATTAGAAATGGTTGGAATTGTTGTGAAGTTCTGATGGATTATACATGGTTATTGCCAGTATAAGCTTTTTCTATTTCAACTATTTCAGTGTGAAGGTTCTCAGTGTAATGCATTGGTTACATAGTATTTACAATGCTCACATTTCGATCTCCAGTTTTGAGAAAATAAATATTAAATTTATATTACACTATTTTAATATTCTAAGTAATATCATGTCAGTACAATTATGTGTCATTGTCATTGTTTTTTCCTCTCTTTAAAATAAAACACTGTGGAACTCAGTTTGGAGATTCCTCACAAAACTAGGTCTAGAAGTCCCATTCAACCCAGCTATTCCCTGCTGGGTATTTTCCCAGAAGATCTAAAAACATCATATCACAGTGATATATGTGCACCTATGTTCATAGCAGCGCAATTTGTAATTGTTAAATTGTGGAAGCAACACAAATGTCAT